GTCTTCTGCACTATACGTTTTCACAAAATCGCATAAGTCGATTACCTTCAAAATGTTCCTTTTAAAACTATATACAGAGTAAAACTAAATGAGCAATGACTTTTGTGAATATATAGCTCTGAAATATTAATTTCGGCCGTATGAAATCCATTGTTTAGTTTTGAAGTAGATTATGCACTATATTTAAATAATCTCAAATATCTCATAATTAGCTAGATAGATTTTTTCGAAAATCCCCACCAATGGAGGCATCTAGTATATAATTATGTGGTACGAAGCATTTTAGTGTTGAACGCTCTGCAAGGCTAAATTTATTTTCTAAACGAAATCAAATATTTCATCATAATCACGTGTTATGACGTCCGATCTCATAAAAAACTGCATCAAACATTAATTCAATCTTTATGTGACTTATGTGCAAAAAAGATTTGTAATAGGTTAAAAGACGTTTATGCACTAGCGTTCCAAAAGTGGAAGGTAGCGGTCAAGCGTGAGGGGGTCGAGCCACCTTAATGAGCTAGAGCGCAGCGAACGAGTGAAATTTTTTTCAACACAAGAAGAAAACTTCATATCTTCAAACCAACGTGTATTTCTTTATTTTTATGTCGACATATGCACATTCAAAAAAAAAAAAACTTGTTGAAAACATTGGAAAAGACGTCATCGATAGTTTCACTAGTGAAGATATGGAAAATATGTCACTGAGGTCCCGGATGTACCTCAAAAATTCCCAGTAATGTCTATGCAATACACCTCGTTACAAGGTAACCAAGGTAACCTTGTATCCATGATTACCTAATTTTATTTTCAGCTCTAATTTATCGCGCATTCGGTCATATCTTTGGATGGGTATTGCGCCCTATGCTGCCTCCGCTGGCTACTCCATATATACTATATTCTCTGTTGGGATCCCTGTATTAAATTTTATGGCAGAGAAGAACTGGGAGGAGGAGTGGGGACGTCTTTTTGTCATCGCCACAGGAAGCCCAAGGAGCAAAAAGAGCCAATTCAATTTTCTGATTGTCAATTATATTTTCTGCAGGTAAAACAGAAATTAGGGCCAGGAGAGTACGACCTGAGGTCCTTTTTAGAAGGAAATACGGGTGAACATAAAACGAGGCATGGAAGATTCCTAAAGGTTGAACGATTTCCTGACTTCCCTAAAGAGAGAATATACTGCTGTACGCTGAGTCAGTGTCCTAGAGATCCGGTAAGATAAATCAATAAAAAAAATCAATAATGTGTTTTTAGTTTGACAAAATAGGCTTTCATAACTTAGCACTTTTATTTTTGTATGCAGAGTAATTCCCTTCGTTATAGAGCGTTTTCACTCACGTGAGAAGGCAGCCATAAACAATAGAAACTTTCTGCACAGTATTTGTATAAAAATAGAGTTCAATTCCTGGAGGATAGAAAATGTATTGTTTTGGTGACGTCACGCGAAAACGCTCTACAGCTTCCATTATTTTGCTTACTTTCTGACTTGGCGTCCTCCTTGACTGTAAGCCCCTGGACAATATTGCCTTATCAYCGTATTTTATTCTTATCCCGCCATAGAGTGACCCCGGTCCCGGAGCATATACACCTGCAAAGCTTACAAAGCCTGAACCATCCAGGAGACCACCATTTGGTTCATCAGCTGAGCGTATGAACAAGCACGCCAGGAGATTCTTCCTTGGAAGTTATGTAAGTTAGAACAGGGACTGCGAAAAGGGAGAGCCTGCAGGGGGGAGGTATGGGTGGAGGGCGGTGGCGGTGAGGGGTTGTTTGCTAATTAGTAGAGAGTTTTAGATTGACTTTTTTTTCTCCCCGCAAACGGCAAACGTGACCACGTTTTCATAGTTTTCCTGTATTTTACTTTATCTTTTACAAACCTTCTCACCAAGCGCAAATACTCTTTTGTTTTTCTACTACTTGGACTTTTTTGCGATTCTTTTTCAGTAATTTAAAAGAATTTTTTACTGGTCAACTGACGTTTCACGTTTGCCGTGAACGAAAATCTAAAACTCTCTAGTATCCACCAAATAAATCTCTACTTTGGGTGTAATATTTTCCCATTACAGGGCACGTGTCATTCCCTAGAGTATCATTTCTTTGCTTAGTGGTTGCGCATGAGAAGACACATGAATATCGATACAACTCAAACAAGATTATTATTCTCAAGATTAATGAGAAGTTTTGGGAAAAGCAAGACGCGTAGTGTTCACGAGTGTTCTGCCAATCCCCCTTGAAGTATTTTATAATTCCACACAGAACAGGAAGCAAAATATTTAGTTTTGAATATATGTATAAAATTTAAATTTCAGCAGCCACGTTATTTTGTACATTAATGACAAAATACAAAGTGCGCGCGATGCTGTGTACTCTAATAAACCACGCGCTCCCAACCATTTAGGTGGCGATATGTATAACAATCATTTTCTAATTGTCTTTAAGAACCCAGTTGGTCCTGGCCGATACACCGTGAGTAAATACGACGAAGCTCAGCACGCAAATGGACATCAAAGCGCATTTGACTCAAAGACGAAGAGATCAGATCTTCTACGAGACAAATACATGAAGTAAGTTATTGTAACCGTGAGCGTCTATACAGTCCTTTGACTAAACGTTGTCGTTTGATCGGCTTCATCCCTACGCGCCTAGACCGAAAAGGATCATGGGGATGATTAATTCACAGTTACTAGCTGCCGCATATGTTATCTAACACTTCTTTAGCTCGCTTTTTCGATCCCATTGAATTTGCTGAAACCATGCTCGAGCATACGGCGAAGATTTAAACTGGCGAGCAGTTTGGATGACGCAAGTTCTGGGTAATTTACTCGTTATCCTTTCCGGTCTAGGCGCGTAGGGATGATCCGATCAACGACAACGTTTATTCAAAGGACTGTACACTATGTCACCATTTTCGAGTTCTCTGTTGCTCAGGGCTAGAATATTCATGTGGTTCAGTGAAGATCCGTGGAATTTCAAAGTGTTTTTTATTGTTGATATGGTTTATTCTTCACTTTACCGTTGGTATTTGTGACTATTTAGACACTGATACGAGGCTAACCCTGAGTCGAATAAGTCTGTAATCAAGGAACACAGCGGTAATTTGGAACTCGAAAACGGTGTATTCTTTATGCGTGTATATGGTTTTGTCTTTCTTTTTATTTGTTTTTCCCCTGCTATTTTGTTATTTTCCCCACCATTTTGTCCTGCGATTTTCCTTTACTTTTAGCGACAAAATAACGGAAATCAATGATTTTTTAAGTCACATATTTTGATCCAATCGCTCTTTGATTTTTAGACCATCTCAAGTTCTTTTGAAAGATACGCTCATTTTTTTCTAAGAGGGAACTTGAATTTTTTTTGCGCAAAGTTTGTAACGTYATATTCCCGCCAAAATTGTGCCAAATTTGTAACGTCATATTCCAGCCACAATTGCGCCAAATTTGTAACGTCATATTCCCGCCAAAATTGCGCCAAAGTTGTAACGTCATATTCCCGCCAAAATTCGCAAATACCCTGACAATACTTATCTCTCTTCCTTTTCTGACAGAGAAAGAATAAGAGCCAAGGACGTCAGACCTGAAGATAAAGTCTTCATGGTACCTCTAACCGCATGAAAAAAATCGGCACAATTTTTTGATTTTGAACTGAGTGAATCAATTAATTCGAATCTCCTAATAAATTCCTTAGGAGAGGCTCCGAATTTTATAATTGTTTGAATATTTTAAACACAGAGATATGGGTGTTTTTAATTGAAATTTTAGTTTGAATAATTGAAATTGGGCTGCCTGTGGATCCGCACCACACCCACCCCTCCCCCTTTTTATGTAAAATAATCAGTCAGTGATTGCATCGATGATAAATCTCAAGCAATATGCCACAGCATTGGAATGAGAACTTCGAATGGTCGTGGGATTAAACAAGTTGACATAAACCCAATTTAAACAAAATCTTTTTTGAGTTCAAAACATGGAACTTGATAGTAGAGTACAAACACTAGAGTGATTTTCATATGATCGTGAAAGAATAGGCAAACTAATAGTTAGTAGTAGACTCTAAACCAATGATTTTCTTTTGTTCTTTATCAACTATTACAAACTAAATGGTCTATTTTCTTTCACGGTCATGTGAAAATCATTCTATAAGTGTGCAACATAAATACCACTAAATACTGCTAATCCTATTGTTTTCTATTGTTTAATTAGCACTATTTACTTCTAAATAGTGCAAAGTGTTGCACACTTTTAGTGTTTGTACTCTAGCAGAGACCAAAAGGTATTCTGGGAAAATGACGATTATCCTTTGAGGCATATTTATGAGGCACACAGTCAACATCAAACATGTGTTAAAAGCCTCTGTGGAGTAATGTTTATAAAGCAATTTCTTGGTTAGTCTGACTGTAAAAACTTAAAGTCAGAAAACAAGTAAAAAAGTCCTTCACAAAATGTATTAATGTACTTCCCATATACCATTTCAGTCTCACCTAGTCTATATTTATGTCCTGTTTTAAACTTGACAATGATTGTGAACCAAGGTTACAGTGCACATGCTATATCAGAACACAATTTTTTTGTTTTTTTTTTGTTGCTGGAATATGCATCAGTGACATAATACCAATGAACAGAAATCAATTTTTTCACTAAATAATACTTTAAATTTGAAATGGTATGTTTTACAAATAAAATATAGAAAATGTGACTGTTTTGCTATAYATTATCAAATACCTGGGAGCATAATTTCAGGTTTTCTAATTAAAAAATGATATTGTGAAGTTTAGAGCTTGGCCACAAAAAAAAAAATTGGCAAACTATTGCTGTGAGCTGCATGCTGAATTTTGGTTTTTTGCTGACGATAGAGCAGATGCAATTAAACTGTGAAATAAAATCAAAGTACTAACTAATAGTAGCTATTTAGTGACTAATAGTTGCTATTACTCAACCAGAACATTCATCATACCAAAACAAATACACAAGAGACCATTTGTGTCTTTTGTTTAATAAATGTTCTGGTTGAGTAATAGAGTGCTCACACTAAATCCGTGAAACAAATACTAATTTTTAGCACTAAATAGTGATAATTAAACAATAGAAAACAAAGGATTCTGTATGAAATAGTACTAATTAGTACTATTTAATGTTCACGGTTTTAGTGCGTGCACTCTAGTGACTATTAGTCACTAAATAGATACTATTAGTTAGTTCTTAGTTTGATTTTATTTCTCGGTTTAATTGCATCCACTCTAGTCAAAAATATGAAAGGTATGGACYGATTAGTTTTAATTGACAGCGAAAAAACAAATTTCAGTGTGAAGCTTTCAAATTCACGTTTATGAAAATATAAGCAAATGCACTCAAAACTAAGTAACGAGTATATGCAAGATAAGTTATATAAGGGTTTTATTGTAAAAATCTACAAACTAACTCAACTGGAGCACTAAACATCAGCGAGTTATTCAAGCCTTACAGATCAGGCAAGCTCTCAATGCTGTACTAAACAAAATGCATGGTGTTATAATACAAATTTAGAATGAAAAAAGACTTAGACTTGTAAGTTAAGTAAAAACTATATATATCCATGAAATAGTACTAGCTCATAGTACAAAATAGCACCAATGAAACAATTGAAAGCAAAATAAATAGTATTTAGTGCTATTTATTTTAGAAATATGTGTTTAGTGTTTAGTGTGCTATTTCACAGATATATGGTTTGCAAGAGGGGATGGAAAATTAGAGTGAAGTTTTGTTTAGAACAGCTTGTGAAGTAAGTCTTTCAAAATCCAATCGAATGAATCTTCTGTCGAAGAGCAAGCTCTGAACAAGTCAGTTCAACTGTACATCATCAACCAAAGTTATGTTGCAAGATCAGAAATTGTTCGCCAACATTCCAATAGATGTCCACCTCGTATTTTACACATTTTAACTTGTAGTGCATTGTTCATGATCAATTCCTTAGTTGAGCTTCCATAAAGTCGTAATGTCTTCTCGCACTTTAGTTTTAAGTCTAATGTTTCACTCAAATAGTTCACAAACGATTTAGTCTTTCAAAATTCTCTAAAGAACTTGGTCCAATTATTGGTGATAGTTCAACTCCAGTGTCCAATAGGATAATATAGTCTTTAAGGCTCCTCCATGTATTGAATACAAGTGAAGACATGTTTGATTCGTTTATTGTCCATCTTGTCATGTTCCTCGTGAATAGACAGTGCTCTGACCAAAGTATGCTTTGGCCTTTCCCATCTTACAGGAAAAAAATGACAGAAGTCCATGTTGCCATCACAGACGTGTACAGTTTTAAGGAAGTCATTTAAAGGTTTTCCTCATACTTTCCAGTTTAATTTAACCCATCTTGGAGGTAGAATTAATCCAGAACTCAATGTTGATGTGTTGTAGTGGCAGTTGCATTTTAAGCATATGTCACCAGTGATGAAAAGGATGCCAAAATTAATGTCCACATTTCCAGGCATTCACCTGTCCTCAATACCACCGCATTGTAACGTTACCTTTGCAGGATATTATAAGACTAGGCTGGTTGATAATCTGACTCTAAAATCTTCAAACTATTAACAGTATTTTTTATCAGTTTTATATAAAACATTCTTGGTTCCAATAAACTTAGAGCTGGTTATTTGTTAGTTCCATTAATATCAAGTTCCAACTTGAAGCTTTGCTGAAGTAGTCATATGAAGTAGTCCCTTGTAAAAATTATTTAGCGTTGATAAAGTCTTGTGTAGGATATAATCTGTACTTTTGCCAACTGCAAGAGAAGTCCTTTACATTTGCCAAGAGGCAACTATCATCCTCAAAAATTGTCTACATCAAATAGTTCACCCCTGTATTTATAGGGGATATTCAATGAACAGAATTGGAGTGTCTTCTATATCTGATATCTTCCACCACAATTTCAATGCATAAATTGTTCATCACGTGGAATGCCCAACTGAACAGTTCATACGTAAAGTTATGCAATGTAGCCCTTGATCTAGGAATGTTGCTGATATTGTTCTATCAGTGCCTACCTCTGCTGCACTATTACACCTATTTTCGTGGTTATTTTCCTCAGAATGTGAAACAGTTTCTAGTAGTTAGTGTATATATCAAATTGAGCTGATCCTCACAGTATATCAAGCAACTTGTGCAGCTGCAAATTGAAAGACTCAAAGTTGGTGCAGTATAACAGTCAAATAAAAAACAGTCATACATGATGATGATGACGATGAAAACAATACTGCCAAACAAGGTCTAAAAAAATCCAATTAGTATACCAACAATTTCACGGTCTGAGGAAAATCACTCTAACTTTAAACTAGTGATAAGTTTTGATTTTTGGCAAAGTTAGTAGTATTTCAACTGACCAAAGCCAAAAAACCAGAAATCTGGTAACACAAAGTGGTGTAAAGCTATAGAACCTTTGGAGAAACTCCTATTAGAGCTCATATAGCAAGCCTTAAAATTAAGGCGGGTAAGTCGTCGGTCATGATGATGGGCCAAATTGGTTTTAGCCTTGTCATAACTTGTTTCTGGTTTAACATTACTGGTCAAAATGACCGATAAGTCAAAGATTTGACATGGCGAGTACGAATTATGGGCATATATTGTCGGATACATGTCTGGCCGTTAATTTAAGCCTTGTATAGCAGAGTAAAGTTTTACGGAAATTCAAACTTTTGTTTCRATGTGAGCTCCAATGAAGGTTTGTTGGAAAGGTTCTGAAGGGCAAATTTAACCTAAATCTATCTCACAATATCTTGTTTTTAACTAGCCACATTTACTATCAATGGTTCTGATATAAAAAATATATATAACTAAATACAATATCATAATATATATGTAATTATCTGCATAATAAAGCTTGCATATTGAACTAGAAGTCTTTAAATATCCCAAGAAAGTTCTTGGAATCGTAACATCAACTTGTTTAAATTATAAGTATAATAAAATGCAGTCTTGGGTAAGATGCTGACTGCAATGCATTACTGGGAAATATGTTATCAGTCCCAGTCATCATCTCCTCCTGCAGGCACAGGTACCCCAGCAGATATAGGTGATGTGTCAAATCCATTGGACATGTCGTTGTTTCTGTTTCCATACTATAATAAATAATAAATAATAATTAGGATGTAATTTACTGCTAATTTCGTTTATCGAAGTATTATGATCATCCGGGTGGATGTAATCCTGAGGACTGTTTGATGTGACTGACGTTTTGTGGATTACATCTACCCGTATGATCATAATACTTCAATAAACATTTTTTATTCACCTGTGTTTAGAGCGTTACGATACAATACTGCTATTTTCATAATCATGCAAACTCCAAGTAGCTGCACCATTAAAATTTGGTTTTCACTGCAGCGAGTCAAAAATATGAAAGGTACCAACTGATTAGCTTTGATTGACAGCAGCAAAAAAAAACAAATTTCAGCTTGCAGATCTCAGCTAAGAAATTCGCGTTAATCGAAAAAAGCAATAGGTATGTGTGTGTGTGGGGGGGTAATATATCATTTTCCTGTGTGGTGATCAGAGTCTAGCTGTCACGTCTCTCCCTTGATTCAATTGCTTTTATCCAGGTTCTCTGGTTTTCCTCCTTACACAAAAAGTTCAATCTCATCTGTGAGCTAGCAATGCACAACCTTAGGTCAACCCAGAGGTTTTCCCCACACTAATGACGATWGACATACCTGTTTTCTTGTATCTCTGGAACCAAATCTCCCACCAGCTGGTCCATAATCTGTACCTATGGCACCCTCGGCAATGCTCTCTAACCATTCAGGAACTTCTTGGCTAGCCTAATAAAAAAATATAGGGTTCTCTTAAGAAAAGGTTTTTCCTCTGAGTTCTACTACCTACGCAAAACAAGCTTAATTCCAATTTAATTTGAGTTAGCTGTGTTCTGACTTAGATCAGCCACGAAGGTAGTTTCAGGGTGTAATCTGCGGGTTAGCCATGCCCTGACTTAGATCAGCCCAGAGGTTGTTTTAGGGTGTAATCTGCGGGTTAGCCGTGCCCTGACTTAGTTCAGCCCAGAGGTTGTTTCAGGGTGTAATCTGCGGGTTAGCCATGCCCTGACTTAGTTCAGCCCAGAGGTTGTTTCAGGGTTCAATCTGTGAGTTAGCCATGACCTGACTTAGATCAGCCCAGAGGTTGTTTCAGGGTTCCATCTGTGAGTTAGTCATGCCCTGACTTAGATCAGCCCATAGGTTGTTTCAGAATTCAATCTGTGAGTTAGCCATGCCCTGACTTAGATCAGCTCAGAGGTTGTTTCAGGGTTCTATCTGTGAGTTAGACTTGCCCTGGCTTAAATCAGCCCAGAGGTTGTTTGAGAATTCAATCTGTGAATAAGTCATGCCCTGACTTTAGATCAGCCCAGAGGTTGTTTCAGGGTATCAATTTAATTTTCAATTTAAACTTTCACAAAACAACTTTGGCAAAACACTTGCAGTACTCACATCAGAGAGAACTTTAACCAGTCCACGGGCAATCTTATCATCCCTTCCTCTCAGAAAGAAACTGGTTGATTTTCCCTTGTTTCCTATTCTTCCTGTCCTTCCGATACGATGGACGTATTCATCGATTTCACTTGGGAGGTCAAAGTTTATCACGTGTTTGACATCATCAATATCCAATCCACGGGCTGCCACATTGGTTGCTATGAGAACAGGACAGCGACCTTCTCTGAAATCCTCCAAAGCTTCTTCACGCTCTCTTTGCAGACGATCACTGGGAAAAAAAAGGCTTAATATTAGTATAAATTATTGAGGGTTATTCTCTAGGTTACGTCAGTTTTCCTTCCTCCATAAAATCAACTAATAAATTTCAATGTTAGAGATTGAGATATTGGGCTCCCTGTTCTCCAAGCCTGTTTTTTATCTTATTTTATCTGATACAATCTTCATCAATCTTTCCTGACTCTTTTGATATGAATAATCCTAAGGTCAAGCTCTGTGCTATAGTGTCAGCATGCTCAGATGAGTCTAAACAACATCCCACATTAAACATTGAGATTATAGTTCCTGATATAAATAGCTTGTCAACCCTTAATTGGATAAAAAATTTGCATTTGTATAAAGTTCGAGAGTAAGTTTTGCGTTCCCTTTGTAAGCAGATGATGTATTATAAGAAGATTGATAAACGTTTGATTATTTGCTAACATCTTAGCGAGTGAGTGTCGCATTTGCATATTCAGACCCCTCACAATAACTCATTTCTATGCTTCGTATATCCACAAGTTAACACCAAATTATTACATACCCATGGATACTTGTGGTAGGAAATCCCTCTTGAGACAAGAAAACAGCAAGAAAATCAGCCCCTCGTTTAGATTCCACAAAAACCAGAGTTCGATGTGTTCCTGTACAAGTATTTAAATGTTAGCAAAAAACTAACTAAAGAAAGCCACTAAGTAGACCTTTTTAGCCATACAAGCTGGTATAAGTTGGATATTATATCATATATTAGTATAATTTTAGAATTAAATATAAAGTTTCTCAAGATGATATTGGTTGACCAACCGGTAATTCTGAGACGATAAGGTTTTCCAAATTTTTCCAGATTGGAAATAATATTAAAACTTTTGTTTTATCCTGAATTTCATCTTTTCTCTGATATTCAAGTCTAAAATTATACTAAAACAATTATTCTCCTCTGGCTCAGTGATTATGGTGAATATTCACCTTGCCTCTCTAAGACTCGCAGCTCGGTAAATATTCCACCGATAATCACTTGGCCTTCGGCGAATAATTGTTAAATAAAGTTCTGGATAGGGGAAAATATGGACCCAGACCATAGGCACAGTTATTTATCCATCTGGACCAACTTTAGGATGGTAAATGTTTTCCCCATTATTCTACTTTTTCATTTGTTTTTTATAATTTGTATCGTTGAATAGCAACCAGTATCCCAAGATACAACACTCCTGTTAGTTCGAACCCTGAATAACTATTGATTACAGACCCAGCTAACTTTGAGAAAATATTGTAGCTTTACTGTCTTTCAATTCTAACCATGAACACTTGAGTTTGTCAACCAATCAGATTATGAATCAAAGACAATAGAATTTGAGTTACATGTATTGAAAGTCTATAAGAGCTATTCAAGGAGATAACATGTCATGGTTTGCACAGTAATTTAAGAAAAAATTCCAGGACTTTTCAAGGACTTAATGGTCATTTTCAAGGACTACAAGGACAGAAAAGAACCAGTGAAGTGAAATAAAAACTGTATTTAAACATGCAGTACTTCTCCTCGTGTTTACTTAGACTTAGCATTGGATAGGGGGTATTTGAATCACCAAATTTCAAGGAGCACTATGCCATCCTGAAAATTACCCACAATACCTCAAAACCCGCAAAACAACCGGAAATTACTGTTTTATGTATTATATTAATTATTTTTGTAATTTTAACTAAGGTTTTCCTCTTTCTAAAGATGAAAAAATATTTTTTAGATAGTACCCAAGAAATTCTAGGATAAAAATGAATTATTCAAGGAGACAAAAGAAAAATTCCAAGACTTTTCAAGGACAAAAATCAACATTTTAGAATTCAAGGAGTTTTCAAGTACCGAATGCATTTGTAAGGACTTTTCAAGGCCTGTGCACACCATGCATGATGAATGAGAAATAAAAAATAAAAGTATAATTATGCAAATAAAATAAACTCAAGTGTTCATGGTTAAAGAGTAGAATGACAGTAATTTTCTTATAACAAACCTGCATTTTCAAGTATTTCTGTTAGTTTGTCTCTCTTCTCAAACTCAGACACTTCAACGATATTCTGTTCAATATCAGTAGTTGCACTTCCTACACGACCGACTGTCAAGAACAAGTAGTCATTCAAAAAGTCTTGTGCCAGTGTTTGGATTTCCTCAGGGAATGTAGCACTGAACATCAATGTCTGGCGACTCATTTTGTCCGGTAATCCCATAGTTTCCACAATCTTTCTGATGTCTTGCTCAAAGCCCATGTCTAGCATTCTGTCTGCCTCATCCAGGATTAGGTACTTCACTTTTGTTAAGGACACCTAGGAAAGGCAAAGGAAGATGTACCTATAGTAAATAAACCACTCAGTGGATGAAGAGCCACTCTGAGGAAATACTATTAAAAGATCTGCACATCTACATTGTTTACAGAATAGACCCTTTTCGAGTTCCAAATTACCGCTGTGTTTCTTGATTACAGACTCATTTACTCAGGATTAGCCTCAATTTGTGAAAAATATTCATGTGTTCCAGTCAAGGTCTGTCAAGTTTCAAAGTGTTCGTATTGTTGAAGTTGTGCATTCTTTACTTTACCATTGTTATTTGTTAATATTTACACTGATGCAAGGCTAATCCTGTGCAAATGAGTCAAGTGTAATCAAGGAACACAGCAGTAATTTGGAACTGGAAAAGGGTCTATTGGCCTTCATTGTTCTCAAAGCTCTTCCAAGCTTTAGTGGATAAAAATTTCTGCAAATTGTGTTACACCAGTCCTCAACACCCCAAAGTTTCTTCCTTTCATTCCACAGCAAATAAGTTAATTTTCTGTTAGAGATTCTCTTTGCGACATCCTGACTTTTTGGTCACAAATTATCTCAAATTTCAAAATCTACCTTAGATTTGTTGCCAAAATATACAGAATCTCAAGCATAACATGACTATGTATCATATCATGATGGCTGTAAAACATCTAGTAGAAATCACAAGTACATAGGTAGTCCAATCGAACTACATTCCCCAACTTCACTCACAAAACCAACAATTTGTCTGCCAGAGAAAATTGCACATCTTGTAGCACTTTATTGCTTTCAGCGTACTTCAATCTAACTGTCATTAAAAAATACAAGCTTACCACTCCTTTTTCAATAAATTGTTTCAACCGTCCAGGCGTCGCAACGAGCAGATTACAGCCATTCTGTATTTGTCTCTGCTGATGGGCCACAGACACACCACCATAGCATACCACAGCTCGTAGCATAGTGTTATGGGAAAACTTGCGACCTTCCATATAGATCTGATTAGCCAGTTCTCTTGTGGGCGCAATGACAACAGCTTGTGGTGTTTGGACATCTGTAAAGGATCCACTTACCAGACCATCGTTCATCATTCCAGTCATAACAGGAAGTAAAAATGCTGCCTAAAATAATAGAAAATAACTAAAAATTAGATCTGTTTGAATTTTACTTATGGTAATAAGTTGATAAAGTTTTGCTAGCAACATGGTTTTACAGAAAGTCTACACCATCGCCTGATGGAGGCTTGCAGAAGCAGTTGAAATATAGTCAACTTAAACTGCCAGTATCGTGAGACAAATAAATAAGTATAATCATTGAAGGAAAATATATTTAGAAATGTTTAGAATAGTGGCAAGAGAGATTGCTCCCTCACTATACACCCTCACACATCCCTATTTACTTTTGATTCATCGAACAATCAGGGAATAGACACAGATTGCAGAAAATTGTAAATGTCTGTCTCAGAATCAATACATTCTAAAGGTCTAAAAAATCAATAACTACTACAAAAATCTTATGAATTCAAGTTTGGTGGTCAGACATTCTGTATTCCATGTATTCTATTATGACTCAAGCATAGCCTGGATTGTTCTATTGCCACCAAGGTTGGCAAAATGGAAAGAAAATAACAGCTTTATTAGCCACTGGCTACAAAAGGCTGCCCCTGAGAGCAGTGAGAGCGCTCGTCCACAATGGAGTGGTAAATGCAATAACATTTTTTTAGAAACTACACTTACTGTATTTTTTAAATTTCTTATATATAACAAACGCTGTCCTTGATTTGATCATCAAGGTGAAGCGGGTTTGAGTCCCACCAGGCTTAAATCACTCACTCCCTAACCCGTGTTTCACAGCGATTTACTCACAGTTTTTCCTGAGCCAGTCTGTGCACATGCCATCACATCTCTTCCAGCCAGAATACTAGGGATTGCATATTTTTGTACTGGTGTTGGCTTGTGGTAATGAGCTTTCTTCACGTTACTTAGGAATGTCTCATATAAATTTGATTCTTCAAAAGTTTTGATTGGCTTGACAGGGTTGTCCCCAGAGACTTCTACTGGGATGGAGTCGTACTTATCAAAGTTGATGCCCTCTTGAATGGTTCTGAAGATGGCTTCTTCACTGTCCGATGGTGTAGGAGGGACATAAGTAACAGGAGCTGGTCTATCACCTAAAAAGAATCAAAAAGAATATTATGATTTAAGGTGACTGCCTATTTTTGCAAGTTCAATTGGAGACCATGACCTGCATGCTCAACAAAACCACTGATTAACCTTCAAGATTTTATTAAGAAACCATACACATAAAGGGACTTTACTTTTTGTAAGATTATTGATACAACTCCTAAAAACAAAAAAATAATTGGGGTCGGTAGGTCAGATTTTGTTTTTTACTGATACGACAGTGAAAAATAAGCTTACTGGGAACCCTGTGGTGCATTTGGGAATGAGAAAAATATTATGGTCGGCAAAATTGGGCAAGAGAATTAGAGTCAGCCGTGCAACAGGAAACATACTTATTTTTTGTCTGGCCCTATATCATTTTTTAAATCTAATTAAAGGGCCACTTGGACGAAAATCGCTCCAAAATTAAAACTCTTTCATTCGAGCTGGAACTTTGCTGAAATAATCTTGAATACATTAAGAATCACCCACTGGAATATCTTTCTGATATTCGAAAGGAAAGGGCCAAAATTTTACGATTTATTTTCGTCCGCCATTAATTTCTTTGAATCACAGAATTCGACTCAAGAAGACTGGCACAAGTACTTATGACGTCATTTACTCAACCCAAACCAAAACATTGGTGGGTAATGTATGTGCCATGTTCGTAAAACTCGGTTTATTTGGTTTATTCAGAAAATATTTAATGTTTCATTCGGTTTCCTAACTACTATATGACCAAACAACGTCTAGGCGCTGAAATTTTTCAGTTTCAATAATACTGACGATCATAATTCGAACATTTCAATACATCTCGGCACGCCAAGAGTCAAAACAAAGTAGGACGCATGGACGAGATTCTAGCGGTTCCATCGCGCGAAGTGACTGAGATATTCGGGATTTATTCRAATCATTTTAAGGATAACAATTTTTCAAGGTATGTTTACATACAAGGGCAAAGAGCAACCCCACAATTTGGGTCCCGAGACATCCGACACAATGAAAGAAAAATCTACGAGCTGAGTGACAGACGCCGCTGTCGCGCGAGTAATAAATAAGAAACCTTTGACATGTTCTATTACAAAGATGATATTAGATAATCGTATGTTTGTACCTATTCAATGCATAATAAACATTTTGAAGCAAATAATAACCGTTCTGTAGTAAATCAGCTAGGAGAATTACGAGCTCACATTCTAAATTATTCGGCACAGATCTAAGTATATTGTCAYAAATCTTTATATCACAACGCAGAATTCAAAAGGCAATCGGTTGTTTTCATAACATCAATCACTATTAGATTACATTGAAACTTCAAATTTAAGATCTTTATATCATGGACAGTABGTAGCAAATACAAATAATGAAATGAACGTAAGGAATTTTTATGAAAACCTCTTCCCAAGCATTGCTTCTTCTTCTACGAGTTCGGCTTCATCTTCATACATTATAACTTATGGTTCTAACTCTTCAGGATTGACAAAGCGAGCGTCCAAAGGAGTTTCCATCATATTTGAAGAGGTATCAAAGGTTTAAAAAAAGTCTGTTTAGAGATTCTTTTCACGATAACGCGTTTAAAACATCAAATAAACTTCAGGTAATTTAACAAGAAATGTATAGTCAAAACGACACTAACATGACAGTGTTGAGTAAATGACGTCACAGCGTAAAACTGCTGCACATAATGACTCGTTGGCCGTGACACAAAGAAATTAATGGCGGACGAAAATAAATCGTAAAATTTTGGCCCTTCCCTTTCGAATATTAGAAAGATATTTCAGTGAGAGGTTCTTAATGTGTTCAAGATTATTTCAGCAAAGTTCCAGCTCGAATGAAAGAGTTTTAATTTTGGAACAATTTTCRTCCAAGTGGCCCTTTAATAACTTTTTTTAAACTTAACTAATACTATAGATAAAAGGTGCCCACTATATCTTATCATAGGGTATCAACACCTGCTTTATTTATAATAATATCAAATTTTTAACAAATACTACAACAATTTAGTTCAAAATAGATCATTGAAAATGTTTGGGTGATGAGAAACATCAGAGTTATTATCAATTAGAGTGTGAATTAGTAAAGTTTAGCAAAAATTCAAGAGCATTTTAAGCAGCATTGAAAACTTAAATGCAATTCAAGGAGATGAATGAGTAGCAATAACCCTCTTCTGTTAAGCACTAGACAAGGTTTTGACTATGCTTTGATGCAAAAACACATGATTGAAATTCATGCCCATCAGACGAATCAATAAGTGTTGGCCACCTTAATAATCTAAAAATATCTTGTAAAATCTCAGGAGTAGGAACCTCCTATTAAGCACTAGACAAGGTTTTGACTATGCTTTGATGCAAAAACATGCGATTGAAATTCATGCCCATCGAACGAATCAACAAGTGTGGGTCACCTTAGGGTTAGGGTTATAATCTAAAAATATCTTGTAAAAGCTCATTATTAATAATAATTATTATTAAGAGAGAATTCTTTTTGTATTCAAGCGGTGAGCGCCAAAAACTATTTTCTTGAAGAAAAGCTGTTGTACAAGGCTAAAATCTTGTTATTCAGAAAGTTTAACTTGTTTGGAAGTGGAGATGACTGATGAAAGTGGAATAAAAGTGTTAACCCAAAGCAAAAATGTTTTTTGAAAATGAGGTTCAGGCCTTCATTTGCTTATTTCCAAAATATATCTTCCATAAAAAAAGCCTGACAAAGCAACATCTAACACAAATGCAACAAAACATCTTTTTTATAGTTAAAAATACCATTTCAAACAAGCATTTTTTTAAAATTTCTCTTAAAGTGAATCTGACGCTTACAGGATGTGCTGATTCAAAGTGCTCATAAATAAGAATGGCAGTTACTATCCTTTGAGGAAATTTTTTCAATAATGAACAATGACAAAAAGCGCCAAGAACTAGACTTTCGTATAAGTTTTGATCCCAATTTTCGTTTTGGGTTAACACTCAAAACCTTTTTTAAACAGTTAGAAACTGATGTACTATGATAAAATGCCTGCACGAAGCAGCATTTTCAATTGTTTACAGATGTTTTGTTGCATTTGTCATCAAAGTAAGACTTTCTTTAATAATTAACACAGAATGGCTGAAATGTATGTTGGTTATATTGCAAGATCACAAAATCGGTTTGGCATATTCAATGGTATTGCTATGGAAACACCCCTGGAGCCAGGTGCTAAAAACTGCAGCTTTATGAAATAATACTTTATAGATTTGCAAGCTACCAATAAAAAGGGGAAAAAAATAACTTACCATCTGCACCTTCCTCAACATTTGGACAATCTTTAGCAAAGTGACCAGTCTCGTTGCACTTAAAACAGCTCTTTCCGCTACCACCATCACCGTTGCTCTCAGCGTTAGGGCAATCTCTTGCAAAATGGCCTGATTGCTGACACTTGTAACAGTTACCACCACCGCCTCCACCAGAGCTTTCAGCATTGGGACAATCTCTTGCAAAGTGGCCTGATTGCTGGCATTTGAAGCAGTTGCCACCGCCGCCACCACCAGAACTTTCAGCATTGGGACAATCTCTGGCAAAGTGGCCTGANCATTTGAAGCAGTTGCCACCGCCGCCACCACCAGAACTTTCAGCATTGGGACAATCTCTGGCAAAGTGGCCTGATTGCTGGCATTTGAAGCAGTTACCACCACCACCACCACCGCTTTCCTTTTTAGGACATTCTCTTGCAAAGTGACCAGATTCTCCACAATTCCTGCATCCATCCCCTCCACTGAATCCACCACCTCTACCAGCACCATCATCATCCCCTCCAGAAAATCCACCTCCCCCTTTTCCAAATCCACCACCGCCGCTCTTACTACCGAATCCTCCACTACTACTACTATCACCACCACCAAACCCACCAACACCACTACCAAACCCACCACTAGTATCACCACCACTCTTACCACCAAATCCACGCCCACCACTTCCAAATCCACCATTACTTCCACCACCAAAGCCACTAGAATCTCCTCCACCTCGGCCAAATGGTTTTCGTCGTCCAGAATCACCATCCCCAAAACTACTGCCTCCATTCATGGAGCCGAAGCCACTGCTCGAGCCAAAACCGTTAGTAGCCTAAAAAAAAGTTAAAACTCGCTCAAAAACTGTTTAATCGTGATGAATTATCATTTTAAAGATGATATTTACCGGTGACGTGTTGTCTTCCCAATCGTCAGCCATGTTGTTTGCTTCAGTTACGTCCAAATGTCAAGTCTTTACGGGGGGTCGAATAGAAAAATCTGCAAAATAAGCGAAATATTACAACCACGATTACTTAGAAAACTACAAAGATCTCTTTCACCATCACTTATTACATCTTAAAGATATTAAAAGTAAAAGGGATTAAAATTACAAAGTAATTTAAGCCTTCCTTTCGYTCACGACTCTGCATGTTTTCACACTTACCGGGTACCAGTAGAAGATATGCTTTTTCTTGTAATTTTCAGCTRCGTTTTCGCAGAATTCTTACGCCAACCTTTCAAGAAGGGATAAATTTAGCTTAAAGAGCTAAAASAAGTAGAAATTAAGGTAAAAGAAGGGAGAAAATAGTAAAAAACTAACCCTTTAGTTGTTCTTGATTGTCGACAACGTGCAGATAACCTCAGAACTCGTGGAAGAAGGATTTTAAGTACCTCCATTTCTCGCCTTCTGATTGGTCAATACATCATTGCCCATCATGCCTTATTTCCCGCCAAAAATTAAAAGAAGATCGGATAACACTTTGATGGAGACCTATCCATTCACCTATTGTTCTCTAAATAATTAGCTGTAATAGAAGAATAGTGTTGTGTGATTTACATATGAAGTTATGCGTAACTAAGCAACTAAGCGATTTATTGTCAATCTGTCGGCATATCCGTCATAGATTTATATCTCGTCATAGATTTTGTGATGTTCTTTGCCGCCGGCATTTCCGGATGCAAATTTTTAAGGCCGCGGGTTTTTTCCTTGCTGATTAGTTCAAAATATTTATTTTTAACTTCGTAACACCAAAGACCTGTGATGGGATACCTGTGAAGGGAAATCTTAAGTCATTAATTAAAATCCAATCGTGAAAGTCCAAACAAAAAAAAAAAATATATATATATAGTTCCAGCTCAGTCTAAGTGAATGGTTAGTGATTTCAGAAGTTATTGATGCCGTGCCTGGCTAATATACCATTGTTTTAAAGACGTGAGACATTTCTGTATGACGTAATTCCGGTATCCGCCACGTGCTAGCGGCGCTCACATATACCCCAGGTATCCCAACAGAACAACGAAATCTTACTTAGGCTCATATTTGATCTAAATCTCATTCTTCCTTCAAAATGAGATGGACAGAGACCTCTTGGATTTCTTTCCTAGGGAGTAGTGGGTGAGGAAGAGCACAACCGGATGTAATAGAAGCCGCGATCCTTTGTCAGTGTGGAACCGGAACGTACATAGTAAACGTGATTCAAAGCGTTAAGGTTCTCGCGTGAGAGGTGATGCGTGATTCTGCGTTCAAATAGACGATCGTACACGTGAAGATTGAATCGGGTTCATGTTGCCCGTGTTTTTACAAGCGTGAATCGGGTTTACTGTAGCCTGCGTTCAGCAGGTTTAGTTCTCGAGAGAAATTAAAGCGGCTGAACGAGTTAATTCATAGAGTTTCGCAAAGTACTTCGTCTCCTTTGGCCTTTATGCGTCACCGAACGAAACGCTATTGAAAGTGTCAGCTGTTTGGCTGCACCTTGGGCGAGCCCGACTCTAAGCATCAATGCTTTCAAAATTTTGAAATGTGAAATAAAACTGATAATTCTAAATCGCTCACTTCGCTACTATTATTTTGTGGCCAGATTTCAAACCAAGTCCAGTCAAGTCCACATAAATTTTCCACCATTAAAAAAATTTCAAAATTTTATCGATTTGACCTCAGAAAACATCTCTAATTGTTCTTCCTAATCAGCGTTTCCCTTTCTGCCACACGTTCCCACGTTTTTTCTTCTTCTTTGAGACGGTTCCAAGAGGCTTTAGCTAAATCACTTCCGGTCAAGCCGTATAGCGTTACACACCAAATCAAAGAAATAAGTTTTCTATAAAGTACGTCACATGTCAAAGTTGAAACATCCCTCATTTGGCTCCCTCCGGGTGATATATTTTCAAATCTCTGGTCATTAATACTAAAGAAAAAGAATATCTGTCAGCCGTTTGTTGTAAACCCTCGACAAACCCAAGGCAATGGAATAAAAGACGAAGAATATGGATAGCTTTGCATGGCTTGGTGCCTTAACTTTGCTATTCGGGCTCCAGATTTGGCTTACGAAAGGTAAATTATATCTATTGAATTAGATTTGTTGTATTTAAGAGAGGATAAACAGTCAATACGATCACTATACTTGGCACATCATACTGACAAAGTTTTTTACATCTCTACGAACTAAAATATGTCAAGAAAACGTGTTTCTCAGATCTTTTAACTCGTTAACAGTGTTGCTCAGTTAATGCTTGACTAACGCCTGTGAAGTTTTTTTTTGAGATGACAATTCTCTATTGCTTGTTGTTGTGAAATTCAATTATTTGGAGTCTACCCTATCGATTTAATGCACCAAATTAAAAAAAAAAGATTAAATCTGGAATTACATGTASAGCAAGAGAATATGAAGTACTAACTTATATTCTCTTGGTGTAGAGCTTTATATTTAATCGTTTTGATACGAGCTGTACAGAAGGAAAAAACGATTAACTGCAAATTGAAAGCGTGTTAAGTTAAATYGAAAGCAATTGAGAAAACAATATTTATATAAGATCTGTCTAACTGGCTAAGGACGTTATGCTAGAGTTTAAATTAACTGATTTTCGTGTGATATTACTAGTAACTCAGTATCTCCTTTTGTCTTTTACTATAAACACAAAGCTTAATTATTTCATGAAGCCGATTTTTTGAACCAAATATTGAAAACTGTCAAAATATGCTAATATTTTAATTGATTTTCCTCAGTGATAACAAAGCAAAATTCTTAACAAAATGAAAATGAAAAATTACAGTCTAATAAATCCGTTTTATCTTGTCGGAGTTTTATCAATCAACAGGCTAAATTTTCCCACAAAATAAATAAAAGTATGAGTTAAAAACATGTTTGTTTTTCAGATAATTTTACACACTTAGCTGATTTAGAGGTCATTTCGCTTCAGCATGTTGGTTGAAGCTATCAGATATTTGAGGGACAGACCAGGTTTCTTGGAACCAGCTAGGGAAAGCATAGCAAAATTCTGAATAGAAATTTATCTGTAGAAAGTATAAATATAGAACTGGTTTTCCACAACTGGTATTTAACTAAATATTTTTCACATGAGATAAAAAAAGATTTGAGTGRGCAAAGAAACGCAAAATGAAATTGTTCAGCTCAACAATGAAATTAACCGAAACCTCCATTCCTTCGTCCCTCCCCCCGCCACACTACTATTAGCAATGTTACGTTCTAAATGGTTTGCCTGTGGTGGGAGGATTGTTTATTGAGAGGAAGGGGTAGCAACAGGAATCTAATCTAGCCTATTTCTCTTTATTTTGAGCATAATGTTGTTGTCCTACAAGAGTACAGTATCATTTCTTTGTTTAACGGTTGTGCATGAGAAGACACATAAATGTGGATACAACTCAAGCAAAGAATGTTATTCTCAAGATAATGACACGTTGTATGAAATGGGAAAACATTATGCCCAAGGTAAAGAGTTCTATTCAAATAAACTTTATTCAATGAAGCCTTTTTTCCCCTTAATCTAACAGCCCAAGACTTAGATCTTCTAGACAACAAAGGCAGAATCGATGGCAGCACATTCATCGTGGGATTCCTCACACAATTCTCGAGAAAATCTTCCTCAAGCATAGACAGTGTTCGTCTCTACATCACAGCAGACCGTTATGCACAGTCATTTATCCAGATACCAGCGATAAATAGCAACAAAATCGTGACCTTACGTCCGGGGGGGACAATGGCAGTCGATTTACCYGGGACAGTGCGCATGAGCCGTATAACCGGTACTGAACGCAAAGGTATTAGAATATGGACCAATTCTTCTGTTTCAGTGTATGGGATGAATTTTATAGACCAATCGAGTGATGGATTCCTAGCATTACCTTTAGGCCTGCTGGGTAACAGCTACATGGTCGTTACGTATACACCCATAATGCATGCCGTTGTCATGGTGATTGCCGCCTTAGGTGGAACGGAAGTGACGTTTAAGCTCAAGTTGTCTGCAGCCGGAAGCGTAACAGTGGAAAACAAGCAGTACAGAAATGGAGACTCGTTTAAAGTTATGCTCGATAAACATGACTCGTTTCAGCTTCTTGCGGACAGTGCCGCTGGGTCGTTGACTGGTACAAAGATAACTTCCACCAAAGCAGTGGCCGTGTACTCTGGTAACGACTGCGCGAACGTCCCCGAATCTCACGGCGGTTGTGACCACCTCGTAGAACAAATCCCTCCCTTATCGACGTGGGGGAGAGAGTTCCTCGTAAAATCTACACCTCAGAGGAATGCAGGGGACATTTTTGTCATCCTAGCGTCCGAGGATCAAACTCAAATACAAATATACAACGTGAATGGCAGCACGCTTGTCAAAACAATCAGTGCTGGCGAAACCTACGACTTTGACGCCGCATTCAATAGTAGTAGTCACGTGATCACGACGTCAAAGCCGTGCCTGGTCGTACAGTATGGTAAAGGACATACAGTTGACGATTCAAATTTCGCGCCTTTTATGAGTATCATCCCTTCAACGAATCAGTTCTCGAATGATTATACTCTTGTAGTGCCGGAAGTCCAGTCTAGATCATTTAAATCGTTCGCTAATATTTTCGTGAAAAATGGAGAAACGCAAGATATCGAAGTGAAAACGACAAACTCAAAAGACCAAATAGTTTGGAAGAAGATTGCTTCGTCGGATYACTCGACTGCAACAGTGAGTCTAACGAGAGGCCAGTACCGTTTTTATCACAGATCGCCTCTAAGAACATTTTCCATGATTTTTTATGGTCACGRAGATTACGAAGCTTTCGGGTATCCCGCGGGATTCCGTGTATATCGACCCCCGACACACTGTAAAACTGCAGTCACCATTCCCGCGGATAATATAGATAATGATTGCGATGGTAATGTTGATGAGGAGTTGTTAAATGGTAAAGATGATGACGGTGATGGAAGAATTGATGAGGATTTGGCTACTCTTATCCCTGAGATGGAAGCACCTTTCATGTTCAACGAAACGGACTGTAGTTCCCCTGAGGGTTTTTTTCTGCCGTCAAGCCCGGTACCCGACTACCGGGCAAAGGGAATGTGCGCTGTTAGAGGAAGCTTAAACATCGTATACACCGATAAAACTTCAAATATCCGAGGTTGTTGGGAGACGAAAACTCGCGAATGGTCCTTCACTGATGGATGCCAGAATAAGATCAAACTTAATCAAGTTATCAACGTTTTTAAACCAAACCAAATAAGACTCTCTTTTCCTTCCGATAAGATTTTCAACTGTTCGTCTCTGCCCAAAGATAATCGTTATGGGGTTCCTGTGGTGACGTCTGACTGCACGGGGAATGTTACAATGACGTACAAAGATAGTAACTGGGGCGTCATCCGGGACTGTGGATACCTGAAGCCAGTGAAGGTCACAAGGACGTGGACAGTAACAAATGTCTGTGGGATCAAGACTTCAGCGACACAAATACTGTCTTTCATCAACAACGGTCAGTGAATTTTAGTCAAAATAACCGACTGAGTTCTAACGCGCTCTGTGGTTGGTCAAAATGGCATCATTTTAAATGAATTCTAAGATGCGAAAGTTGTTCATATTTTTGCGCGTGCGCTCTGAATTTGTACTTTCACGCGAAAATGCTTCCATTTTTCTCTTCCCTTCCCTTCCCTTCCCTTCCCTTCCCTTCCCTTCCCTTCCCTTCCCTTCYCTTCTCTTCYCTTCCCTTCCCTTCCCTTCCCTTCCCTTCCCTTCCCTTCYCTTCTCTYCTCTCCTCTCCTCTCCTCTCCTCTCCTCTCCTCTCCTCTTCTACGGAACCGATGCATTAATCTACCTACTGAAAACGTTAACCAGCATCAAAACATTGTCCAATACTTCTCCATGCTCTGCCCAATAAAACCCTTCTCGCATTGTATTTTTTACAGTCATCAAGCCCCGTATTGTAGACATCAAATCAACAGTGTCTGCGGGCACGGACCATAACATAACATTAACCTGTAAAACCCAAGGCGATCCTCAACCAATCAACACATGGGTCTTACCTAACGGTGAGTACGTCAACAAGTCACAAACCATTGAAGATATCGAGGTCCTAGCAGACGACTTATCTCAGATAAAAAGAATCAAGGCTGTTCAGGATGATGGCTCGTTGATAATAACCGACGCCCGGGTGAGAGACTCTGGTTTTTACAGATGCATAAGCAAGAATATTGGAGGGGTTGCGTCTGGGGAAGTGAACGTCACAATTCATGACGGTAAGATCTAGATTAGGGGGGAGGGAGGGTAAAGACTTTTTGAAAAGAAATATTTCTGTGTTCATACCTTGATTTCAGTACTCTCGTAAGGCACGATTACGCGGAGTAATTTTCTCTGCAACTTGTCTCGAAACAGCGTTGTGACACACAAATTGCAAGAGTGATTTACACGGTGGAACGGGGACGCAATCCTTACCAAAAGTCGAAACGAATTCTACTTTTGGCAACGATTGCGGCAACTTGTCTCGCAGCATTTTTTTCAAAAATCGCTGTATAGGCTACACGCGCTGCAATAAAAGCTCCATGCAGCTCGTTGCAAGACAAGTTGCAGAGAAAATTTCTCCATGTAATCGCGCATTAAGTATTGATTGGTTACAAGCATTCCCAAGAGAGTCAAAAGACAACAAGATGGCGGCCATTTTGGTGCGATTAAAAATCGATGCCAATGGGAAATCTTTTGTTAAATAGTACCAACATAGAAACGATGGATGACGCAAAGTGCAAACGATAAATTTTTCTTTCTAATYGACACAATTTCCTAATACCACTTCATCATTACGATAGTCATATAAATTATCGATTTTTGTCAGAAATTTTATAATTGCAATAATTAATAGATCTATCTCCATAGAGAAGTTTGGCAAATCTTAATCTCCCGTTACGGTTTTCTGTTAAAATTGCAGATCTCGTTGATGTCGACGCCAGTATCACAATAAAGGACTTATTGTTTGATGAAGCTCTAAACGACAAAGACTCCTTACTGTACCGTACGATGGAACAACACATGAAGACAAATGTAAGACTATAGACACCTTATATATGGATTGAATATCGTACATTTTTTGCTTGCTTGCTTGCTTGCTTGCTTGCTTGCTTGCTTGCTTGAAAAAAGAAAGGCTCACTTCCACAGCATCATTTGGGGTTGGGCCAATCTTCTGCCACATCAAATAACAAGCGGGTTACCTTCTACACCATATGGAGTTATAGGATCTACTATATAGCACCAAAAAGGCGAACGGAGAATTCCCACTACATTAAATGGGAAGGAGATTGTCACGATTTAAAGTTCCCATACTGGAGGGTAACGCTTCTGATACTCAAAAATCTCCTTTTCAGCTGACTAAAGTGTTTGAAAACATGACAGGATTCCAGGAAGTTCAGATTCACGGATTTCGGTAAGTTTTAAACTTGATTCGATATGATCGTGACAACACAGCACACGGACGCACTAAGTTGACTTTGCGTTACCATACATCCGCCTGGGCTCTGAGTGGATGGCGGAGTAGAATTATCTTGCGCACTGATTGGTTAAATAACCCACTTGATTGACACCTACGTATGTTCGTATTGGTCTCCGCCAAGAACTGAAGGGCACTGGGCGATTCCAAATGACCGAAACAGGAAATAGGAATTTCCATTCTTGTATTAGCCAATCATGGAACACTTGCAGCTGGAATTGTACTGGGTTCTGCACACCTAAGCCAGCTGATCTGATATAATGACGTCACTACAAAACTGAATGTGTCGTGAAGCCTAGCTGCGAAAATTGACCAGGGAAAAATAAAAACATGCCCGCCATTGCAATAAGAAAAGGTAATAGGACTCCATGCTGTCCAATTAAGAAATAATTGGACGAGAAAAATTCCGAGGACTTCCAATTTGGCAGTCAAAGGAATTTTTTGAATTTAATTATTTCATTTGGACAGACATTTAGACCTATTGCAGATTAATTATATCATCCCAAACTATGCTAGACTGATTCCATAAGTCATAGTTTTCCTCGAAAGAATGCAAATGGAAACGATCAAGTGCAAATCAGCAACGTTTTTTTCCTTTGTTGGTCTGTAAATCCCTAATTTCAAGAGGAAAAGTGACRCCTCAGTTTTGTAAATTTTCTCGATTCTGATTGGCTAATATTTCTTCTCAGCTGCACGAAAGAAACAAAAGTCGCAGCGTAAGATTGGTTTTCACTGTCCGTTAATATTATTCATTTATCTTTTGTAGGAATGGTAGTGTAAAAGTATTATTCAGAGTCGTGGTCAAGAAGAAAAACAAAGACGAGAAAACGTCACTTGTCGTACGTAAAGTTGGTCAGAGGCTCATAACAAAAGTGAAGACAGGACAGCTAGGGAATTATAAGATCGAACCAACTGCTGAACTAAGAGGTTAGTATTTTTATTCTCTCTTCGTATCTGCTCTTTTCCGCTGTTATCTCTTCACCTCTGCTTTGCTTTGCTTTGCTTTGCTTTGCTTTGCTTTGCTTTGCTTTGCTTTGCTTTGCTTTGCTTTGCTTTGCT